AAAATCATACCATAGCCAGTCCAAAATAATCTGTCTTTTCATAATCTACTAATAACTGTTTCCTTACGTTTAACTATAACATGCAGTTGGTTGTGATATATTTCAACAATTGATAATAATGATTACTGTGTCTTTTGACTATGATATCGCATTTAATGATGGAACCTAATGGTATCTGATGGAATCACAGAACAAAGTCTTATAATAGACGCCAGTACCAAATTCAAAAGCCATCACCATGATGTAATTGATTACTGTCGTGTACATGATATCAACTTAAAGCAGAATGGACTCTTGAAGAGGATGTTTTAGTGGAATTGATGCTTGATATTGATATTCCTTGTGGTGAAGATAATGAATTGTAAATAAAAGGGGGGAAATTATCGAGACATTGCCCTTAATGTCAGCCACTTGATCAAGGGAAGTAGATAATTCCAATATGGAATAAATTTTCACCTTTTGTAATTATTATTATTGGTCATGACCCCCTTCGACAAAGCACACGTAGGTCTTAGATATGCACAATTCGAATCGAATACTATAATACAATACCATCCACAGTTTTCGACCTTGCAAACATATTGGTCAATTTAAATAACTGATTAGAAATTAAAGTAAAAACTGAAACGATTGAATGTAAATCAGTTAATATACATTCATATTACATTATTATATGCGTTGCGGCTCATTTGTGTCCATATCTAGGTGTCAAAGAATAGCGATTTAGCTTCTTTAACTTGCGTGTAAGTAACTTTATGTAGGTGCGATTTAATTCCTTTGGCGTCCGAAACAAATGTTGAGGCATTTTCTGGTTACAGATTCTCTCGGACCTCGGTTTGAAGGTGGTGTCTATAAGAATTCGGCCCGCTGAATCCAGTGAGCTTGGGTATTTTTCCTGTAGTGACGGCCAAATCCGCTAGGGGGCCAAATTCAAAATGGAGACCCAGGTGCGCAATATATTGAAGTAAAGGTTTTCGGTGTCAATTACTTCAGATATAAAGATAAAAACACATTCCTACCAAAAGTAATTCTAGACCGAGTTCATATTCAAAATATAATTTATATAGAGCCTCTCATCTAAAACTCTTCTACTCGATGGCGCTGAGCCGCACTCTCACGTTTGGTATTCACACTTGAATAGAGAGAGAAAGAAATGGAGTTTAACGTCCACTGGACACAAACTAGGTCATTTCGTGACTAACATATGGTTCAATTTTATTTCAATAATTCGCTTGCGCGTAAGAGTCTTTAGCAGTTGGAGGAAACCGGAGGACCCGGAGAAAACCCACGAGGTTAGACAGGCGCACACTCAAATAAATGAATCTTCAAGGATGATTTAAAGGACTCTAACGTTCTCGCTTCCTTTAATGTTGCTGGGAGTTTATTCCATTGGATGGGTGCTGCAACTGAAAAAAGCCCTATCACCACAAGACACTTTCAAAGTATTTGGAACGACAAGGTCGTGTTTTGCTGGTGATCGAGTTGTTCTTTCTCCACTTTTGATCTATAGAAGATCACCCAGGTAGTCAGGAGCTAAACCATGGATGTACTTGTAAATGAAGAGGATTATTTTATATTGAATACGTCTGTTTATGGCAGCCAGTGAAGAGAATTGAGCACAAGTGATTAGACGTTCAGCGGTGTTTTGTATCTTTTGTAATGAGCAAAGAGAAGGGGCTGGAAGTCCGTAAAATGGCGACTATATTTGGCGGGACATTTCGATGTGATTAGTAATGTGATAGTGTAATACACCAAACTATAGGGTTTCGGGGTCGTTGAATTCATATCTGAACAGCTGAATGTCCTATGATCGAAATAAACGACAATATGTTCTCTAACGCGACATATATAATAGCTAAGTTATAGGAGACCATGGAAAAATATAGTAATGTAAAAACATTTGTATCAAGAACAACCAACTCGAGGATATTCTTCCCCTTGTATTCTTATAAGAACACAAATTATACACGGTCAAATACAGTCAACTATCGGACCATCGTGAGTTGAAAGCAAATGTTTCTAAAAGCTAACTGGTTCTCACATATTTGTGGCTTAAATCACTGGAATATTCGCAATCGGTATGAACCTTGACTGACAGTTATTAGATCACTCATACGGGTAAAGTTGGGGTTTCGTATAACGCTGGCAAACATTTTCATATCTTATTCCCCTCCGTTTTCTAGCAGAGAAAGTGACACGGACGGGTTTCAAAGTGGATCATAATGTATGCTTGACAATTTGCTCTTCATAGCTTCTGTTCGTATAACTCTGTAATGTGTGGTAAACAGCAAAAGTTCTTAGTCTTATATAGATCTCAATTTAGAAGCTCGGGAAACTGCCAAGGTATCACTCTTCTGGTCATTGTACACACAAGTCTCTGTATATTGCTTCTTTGTATTCACATGTCCGTGGTCAAATGGTACTATCCATACATATTTACTTCACTTACCTGCCCCCGAATGAACGTGTAAGCACTAGTTAACTTTTAGAAACATTTGCGCTCAACTATAGTCCAATGGTGAATTGTGATTGGCTGTGAAGCTTTAGTGTTCCTGTAAGAATACAAGGAGTAGAGTGGCTTCGAGGTAGTTTAACGCCCATTCTACCGTGCTCTTACTATTTTCTGCCACGGTTTCCTAAACTCGGTTATTTTGTCGAATTTGGGATCCATATTGGCGTTTCGATCGCTCATGGAACATTTCGCCAGTCAGATATGAAATTGGCGAACACTATCACATTACTAACTTCGTTATGTCTCGCCAAATATGGTCGCTCAACCTGGAATATCTTTTGGTCGGAACATGTTTTTATGTTTATATCGGAAGTAACTGACACCTCTATTTCAATAATTACACACCTTTTTAGGGAACTTTATTAGTTTCCCGCCAAAATGAGCCCTCATTTTGAATTTGACCCCCTAGTGGAATTAACTGTCACATTTAGGACGAATACACAAGCTTGTTGGATTCAGTGGGTCGAATTCGTATAGACACCACCTTTAAACCGAGCTTCCAGAGAATCTGTCACAAATTTTACCCCACTAAATAACCAGAAAATGCTCCATGGCTGCCATCTTGAATAATTAAATTTACCAAGGGGGGGGGGGCAGGGAGGCATCATCCGGATTCTAAATGTATACTTATCGAAGATATATAATCCAACGAAAATCTATATTTGAATATATTAAACACCTTTTCAGGGAACTTTATTAGTCTCCATTTTGAATTTGACCCCCTAGAAGAATTAGCCGGTATTTTAGGAGAAATCTGCAAGCTCATTGGATTCAGTGGGTCGAATTCTTATGGAAACCATCTTCAAACCGAAGTCCGAGAGAATCTGTCACAAATTTTACCCCACTAAAAAACAAGAAAATGCCTCATGGCGACCATCTCGAATATTTAAATTTCCTTAAGGGTTCCGAGGTGGCATCATCCGGATTCTGAGCCTACACATACGGAAGATATATAATCCATCAATAAACATTAGGTGGACTATATTTCCAGGTTTGTCAAGACTAACATATCACGGACAAGGTAGACCCTGGCAATACAAATGATCGACTCTGTTAAACTTTATCAAGCTTATTATGATTCATAAACAGGATTATGTCAAATGAATTATAATACATTTTATACGCCCATTATGTCAGCGTGTGTGTATTATGCCTTAACCCATGCCCGTCCTTCCGTCAACAATTGGATTGTGAACGTGATTGATGCTACATTTTATTACCGGATTTCTTTCAAATTTGAAGTGAAGCACTGAGGTCATGATATTACGAACTCTGTCAATAGTCACCGTTCGAGGTACTTTCCTACGGCGACCTATTGGCGCCATTCGTTAATCTATACCCTTTTCTAGTAATTTACCTCATATGAAAAAGATTTAGGTTTCCACCGCAAAGAAAGGGTTTACACAGCAGAGAAAAGATTTTTCGTGGGTTTTTTTATTTACCATAGTTTTCATTGCGAAAAAATCGTTCATTGTATTGCAGAGTGAATCTTTCTCATATGAGGTAAATTACTAGAAAAAGGTTCAGATTAACGAATGACACTAATAGGCCACCGTACTTTCCAGAGTTATGCCTTCTTGGGCGAGTGTCCTTTTCCTCAGTTACGCCCGATTTTCTAATAACATGCTATTAACTCGATATAAAGGGCAAAGTTTTCAACTGATTGTTTCCAAATTTGGTGTGAAGCATTAACCTCATCGATGTTCAGCGTTCAGTGACTTTCCATTATTTATTTAGGCCCTCACCCCTCCCACACTGATCAGCAGTGAATATTCGCTAGGCCGCGACAATCACTGTTAAGGATGAATGACATCGATGCGACTTAATGAGCCACAAATAATAACTTAATAAATTAAATTCTAAAACATTTTTTTTATGTATTAGAAAAAAAATTAAAGACGTTTGAAGTATTTGTAGGTAAAAATTATTTCCTATTTTAGTGTAAATGGGTATTAAAATGAGTAAAATCTATAACGTGTTATGTAAACAATGCACGCGCCACTGAGCCAATGATTGACACCGCGTGATATGACGTCATTTATTGAAGGCAGTCATCTTTTACAGAGATATTAGAAGATTTTCCTAAGGCTTCAGTTGTTTTAAATGTCATTTCATTGGATTCATACGAGGTCGTTCCTTGTCGGTATTCAGCTTTGTAGTTATTCCATTATTCCCCCATGTTCCGGAAATATTGTGAAAGAGAGATAGGCTACAGTTTTGAATGGACCATTAAGACTGTGGGAGGAAGAATCCTGTAGCTTTTCAAATTTCACACAATAGAGGACAGATTTCCTGAGAAAACATAAAGGTTGGTGATCATAAAAGTTCGTGATCATATTTGGTCAACATTTAAAGTAGCTAAGTCTCTAACTCAATATCATCAAAAATCTTCGACATTGAAAACACGAATTATTTGTCAATTTAAATCAACATTGGTCTTGTGATCTTACAGTAGCGATGCCAAACGCCGCTAGAGGCGCTGGCTGTCCTATTATTGGTGTGCTAAAAAACCTGACCGAAAAATGTACCGTTTCTACTACGGGGTCTCATGAATATTCAGGAAGTCAAAACGTGGTCACGTCGCACTTTTCCGGAACCTGGTGAGCTGAAGTTAGCGGACTGCCATAGCAGGTAAGATTTTGATCGAATTTTCGCTTATTTTTCTTGTTTTTAATTTTTAAATGTAATAGAAACTTTGAAAAAAAGAGCATTCCGCTCGAGATATCGACATTTTTGGATAGCCTGGTATATATTTTGTATAGTTTGAGCTTTTGTTTTGCCAAAATCCCCCGTAGGAATTGGCAATAAGACGGAAAGTAGAACCGGGGAAGAATCAGGGAAAGACAACTCTTGGTAGGTGCGTGTATGGGATCAGACCACAATGAATGATTTATTTATTTTTAACCTAACTTTTGCAAACTTAAGTGTGAACTATTTAGATGTTTTTGCAAATTTAATAACATTACTTGTAAAAAAAAAATGGACTTTTGAGAAAAATATATCCCCAAATATTGAAATAAGACTGACTTGGCATAGGCAAAATGAAAATGTGTATCTCATTTATTTTAAAGCTTATATTTACTATGGAAGAAGAGTATTCACAACCATTATTCATAACAGATTCTGAGGAGAGTGAAAAAGAAATTGGAGAAAGTGAATCTCAAGTAAGGCATTTCAATCTGTACTTTAGGACAATTATTATACTATGTTTATTTGATGCAGCACTCTTTTATTATAACTTTAAAAAACATAATCGGAAGAGGCCAGGGATTATATTGCTCTGTACCAAATCAATTTTATTTTCCAGGCACAGACGCAAGCTCCAAGATTCATGCCACTTTTCACTCCACGCTTTAGTTCTGAGAATACAGCATTGATATTTTTTATCACTGTATGCAATTTTTTACTCATTGTTGTACATCTTTTTTTTTAAAATTTTATAACCAGAGATATTTGTTATTTATAGAGAAGGGGTGATTCTTTCTTTAATAATGTCATAACATTCGATTACTTATACATGTAACTTTTTGTATTTGCATATGACTTTGATGACGTCCAGTCATGCCAAAAAAGAAATTATTTTGTCATGTGTAATCCCTGTGATTATATCATATATTGTTAATTTTTTTAAGTTTTATATTTTTGGTTTTGTAGTTGGTAGTTTTCATATGATTGATGTTGATCATGATACACAGTTTTGTTTTCTGTTATTTTTAGATTTAGGTCATAAGTTTTCACCCAGAAAAATTCTGTTATTTATTTATTTTTGTTGATTTTAAGTTTTATTGATTTTGTTAATTGAAATAAAGATATTTTTATTGATCATAATACTTGTGATTTTCCATTCCTGAAACAACTATTTTTGTCTGTGTGTTTTGCATGTGTATGTATCCAGGAAAAGACTGTGAATATTTTAATAGCCTCTAGACCTACAGGGGGGTTGGATGGCTGAATGGTTAGCGTGCGCGTGCTGTATCAGAAAGTCTGTCATTGAGTCGACTGGCGTGGTTTCGAATCCCCGGTTGTACGTGACAAGGAGTAGGGTCGCCTGTCCAACCTCGTGGGTTTTCTCTGGGTCCTCCGGTTTCCTCCCACTGCTAAAGACCCCTACGCGCAAGCGAATTATTGAAATAAAATTAAACCCTATGTTAGTCCCGAAATGACCTAGTTTGTGTCGAGTGGACGTTAAACCCCATTTCTCTCTCTCTCTCTAGACCTACAGTTGACCCGTGACCTTACACTTTCTGTATGACCTTGACATGGTATAGTCAAAAAATGCAATTCGAGTAGCTGATGCCTAATAAAAAAACACGATAACAATGTGAAAACATTATTTGTGTATCTATCACATCAAAAAACGGGTTGAGTAAATATTTCAAAGCCCTGGGACTTCTACATGGTTTGTTATTAACTATCACGTCATTTTTTTGCTGTGACCTTGAACGAAAATTGTCTCGGTCGTAAGTTTGAGAGTCTGTAGCACACACACTATATAACCGAAGAGTCTCCCGATAATTTGATTCAATCCAGTACATCTTGAACTTCAAATTCTGCAAGTTTCGTGGATCTACCTATTATAGTGTCTGAGATATTAGCTTCGGTCAGGTTTTTTACGTTTTTAAAAAAAAGCCGTATTTTGGTGCCTCCAATTCGCGGTCTTCAAAATGCCATAAATTTTTTAATTTTCAATATTTTTTCAAAATTCTTTCAGATTATTGAATCTAAATAGTTGACGCTTGCAGTGCAATAATCATATTAGAGACATTTTGTGTATTTAAAAACCCTTTGGCAACGCTACTTACAGGGAAAAGATGAGCTTCTGATATCCAATATTCAAGACAAAATAAACATTTTACCATTGGTACACGATGATAAATCTGTTCATCTATAGTGTTATAAAGGAGAAATCAAACTTTGTTAGCTATTTGAAGTCCTCAAATAAGTAATGATCTCCACTTTCTCGTATTTTATCAATGCGATTTACGATTACATTCATATTACTCGCATTAATGGTAAAGCAGTTGGTAAAATATTGAACTACGGACTGAAATGAAACAAAAATGTTAACGACAGTAATTTGATTGGATAATATTAGATTGATTTTAGTGCTTAGCCAATCAAAATTAAAGTATTTACTAAAATTTGGATTTTATCTTTAGTTAAGATATTGAGAAATAGGGCCCTGCTCTTGTACCTTACCTCGTGTAAATTGTCTATCACTTCTGTACCAACTCAGACGTATTATGTATATACACTGTTAGAAATAAATGTTAATTTACCGTAAGAATGTGGTAAAATATTTACGTAGTTGTGTGTTATTTTACAAATGTATGTTTTATTACACCAAACAGGAGTGATAGAACAAATAGTCGTAAAAAAAACATATTATACAGGTGATTTTACAGTGAAATAATTTATTTTTACATACGTAACGTCAAAATACAGTAATGTTCAGTGTATTCAAACTATAGGAAGATGTACCGTAACCCAAATTGGTTGTCGTAAAATGTTGAAATCACAGAAATGTTTTATTCAATAGTAATGAAAGCAAACCTTGAAATATTTTTGTTAACATTTCTCAACACACAACCAATTCACAGTGACCGTTGAAGTCCACAACCAAATAGCAAATGATGTTACGACAACCACCAGGTAAACTGTCAGAAATGTATGTAAAATTACAGTAGTACAAGGGTTTTTTGTACCTCAATTATCGGTATATTTTACAACATATACTACTTTTACCAAGTCTAATGTATTTTTACCGAGTTTCAAGTATGTTTATCGAGTTTCATGTCTTTTTGACAATAAGTGGCGATGGAATCAAAGACATATTCAAAATCCTGTAAAAATACATATAATGTAATAAAATTGAACTGAAAGTAACGCAGCAAGCGTGTTACTTTACAGATTTTACGTTTGTTCACATTATTATGTAATTTACTTTTAGGTAAGAAATATAAGTAAAATTACAGCAGTTAAAGAATTTGTTTTTACCTTAAAATTTTACGTTTGTTCACATTATTATGTAATTTACTTTTAGGTAAGAAATATAAGTAAAATTACAGCAGTTAAAGAATTTGTTTTTACCTTAAAATATTGAGCGGAAAATAACATAGCCAGCATGTCATTTTACAGACTTACGTTTATTCACGTTATTTTGTAAATTTACTTATTCGGTAAATTTACTTATTCGGTAAATTTACTATCTCTTATTGTATTTTAGTATTCCATAGAAACGAAACATTCCTAATAATTATCTTCGTATGGTATTCATTTCAATTTATTAACCATAATATGGACAATCACATCTTGTAAATTTAGTATATTGCATGAATGTATATCTAGTTTCCATTATTTATAAGATCTATAAAGTGTATTGATATTTAGCGTACGTTAATCAGTTTGTAAGTATTTTCTTAAATGCATAAAAAAAAAATGTTTTGACTTTCTGGCCGTAGGTTGTATTATCTCGTTTTCAAGTTCACTTGAAGACGGTAAATTAAACCGATTGGCCAGTGTTAGTTGAGCCGGACTGTCTGTAAAGCAGGGTTATAATGCCTGCAAATAGATAGTACCGCGAGCTTACATCTGAAAGCCTGGAACCATGCTCTCGTCTACCAAACAGGATTATCGATATTCAATATATATTGAAGTGATATTAATACGAAATATTTTACACCGGGGCTATTGCTCGAATCTTGCTTGAAAATTACCAATATTTGTATTTTTAATAAGTGTAAATTAACAGTGTGATGTATTTTTACAAGAAATGTAAATTAACATTGTGATGTATTTTTACAAGAAATGTAAATTAACAGATATGTCCTTCTACAGTAAATTGTTAAATAACTAATGGTGTAATTTTACCTATGATTTAGGGGCAACTTTTGCTGCCCGTAATTTTAGGGTAAAATAACCAAAATATTTTTAACAGTGTAGCTATTAACAATGTCTTGGTAAGGATCATAGAACTATGCGAATGATAGCAGTTCCTATATCCCAGAAAATTTGACACAAAAGAGGCCAAACAGCGAGAGGAAGGCACGGGGGTATGAGCCATTGCTTTCTGCACACAGAGAACTATCTACTAGTAAGTTTAGTGTGTGTGTGTGTGGGGAGGGGGCTTTCAGTTTCCCGTACCGTTACCCTTGTTATTAGACAAAGTAATCAGTTACACATCCAAGTGATGCCTGTTTTGATCCGAGAATGGACCATTTGAAGCAAAAACCAACAAAAGAAACATGTATAAAGGGTTGCTTGAGGTGATGTTACGTATCAGTGAGTTGTTAAAGATGTGTCACTTGGAACGCTCTTCTGTGGATGTCATTAGATATGTTGCTCATTATGTTTTGTAGCCATGTTTGATATTCATGAATCCCAATCAATTTTCTTTCCAGGTCAGATTTGTAATCCATTCTATTTTGCTTCAGGTATGGACTTATCATATACGAAATTGGTATATATGGTTTATTATCGAAGAAACAGCCTGGTTAATTCTTCTTGAAAAACTGCAAGAAAAGTTTAAAGGACAATATTGGTGTCGGTCATTATCGCATATGTGATAGAACTAATTAAACACGTTTCAAATTGGAAAGAATTATTAGTGAGTAGAAATTCGGCCGTGTATCTGTTATCACTCATCACATCAGTCAGTTATATAGAGGTATGACACGTGTTTTCCTTTGGCGTTCGTCACTTCCGATTCAGGAAACCTGTATTACTCAGCTATTGTAGCAATGATCCCTGTGTTAAAATTATATTTGAAATGTGTTTAACCAGCCCTATCACGTATGTGATAATGACTGGCACCAATATTGTCCTTTAATTGTGTAAAAATGTATTTGGACCATTATAGAACAAGATGATAACATATCTAATATTGAGGTAATGTCTAGATGTTGAGAATTTAATTCTAGAAGTCAGACAGTTCCATATCTGACAAACTTGTGAATACGGTCGGTAGTAATTGAAAAAACCGACAACACATGGTTTAAATGATGTATATCTTTGTTCATTTCTATTTTCTATTATCTAACTTAGGTTGATATTATATCATTTTAATTATTCAAGTACATGTTGTTGTTACTAAAACTGAGTTCCCAAGATGTAGATCGAATGACATTTTGTAAAACACAACTAATAAGCACACTCGATCTTGCTCTTTTGTACATGATTTCAAATCAATACCGCTGGGTTATATATATACCCAATTCTGTAAATGACAGTCCGTGTTAATATTCCTCGACCCCTATCAATCAAATTTAATTATTTAGCGAGCTCTTTGAGTTCGATATATTTCGAATAGGTCAAAATAAGCATGGGTTGCCAAGTTTGGACCAGACCAGTTAACAGATATTATTGAAACACTTTAAGATAAAGACCGACAGTCAAAGGAAAGAATTAGGGCCGTATGTAAGATTTTAAAAGTGGGGTTGCAGCAGAGTGGTGGGGCGCCATAGCCTCCACGTATGTGATAATAAGAAAGTTTCGATCAGGGCAAACGAACCCATTAGCGTGTGGGCGCCCTTAAAACCGATCGACTGATCAGTGCCCTAAGAGCATCACTGTGTGATCATAATCAAGTGTATTATTTTATAATTGAAAGATTGTCAAATATTTTTTTTTTGGATGGGGTGGGGGGGAGGGCGCAATTTCTCGGGGCGCCTTATTTTTCTGGGTTAGAAATGAATGATTTTAAAAGATGTTTGCCTAATATCTATCTATCTATATATATATATATATATATATATATATATATATATATATATATATATATATATATTTTCATTTACGTTATCTATTTTTGTGTACTATTATGACAAGAACTGTCAGCTCTGTATCTACATCTTACATAATGCATCTTTAATTATTTGTGGTCCTATGTTTCTCGGAGGTTTGTTTGTGTTCATGTGGTGGTTAATGTACTGACGTAATGTATAGTCATACAGGGTGGAATATAGACAATATTATAAAATTGATGTGCTAGGGGTTTGGGTGCCAATAAAGGTCTTTAAAAATTGTTGGTCATTTGGTTTAATCTTTGTTATTATCTTGGATGTATTAATTTCAAATGTCCGAAATTGGTTATTATATTTTCAG